ATAACGCAACCCCGCATGTGCCCTTGCCGGACTCGAACCCGGGACCTTTCAGTCCGCAGGCTGAGCCAAACCAGCTAGGGCCAACCTCTTCTCCTTGACTTTGGCTTTCTTCTCCCCAGGGGGTCACTTACCCCGCCTGCCACGGGATCTGGAGCAAATGGGCCCCTCCCTTAGAGCGGAGCCGCCTGGCGACCACAGCCTTTTGCGGTGAGAGGAAGGTGCTGGGATTTAGATTTGTGGGTCTGAAAGAGGAGGGGGTTTGGGGAAGGAAGGGGTTGGGCACTGGCCGGATATCTGTGGAAAGAGGGGCTGTGGCTTGCACTTTTGTGTCCTGGAAAGACGAGGCTGGGGGTCCGAACCCCTGGATCCGGGGGGCTAGCTAGGTCTGCTCTCTCTCCCGCACCCCCCCACCCCCATCAGGTTCCTACGCCGGGGCGGTGGTGGCCATGCCTCTCGCCGGGGTCCTGGTGCAGTACTCAGGCTGGAGCTCTGTGTTCTACGTCTACGGTGAGGGGCCCGGGCGCCGGGGTTCGGGGGGTGCTGGGCCAGAGCGAGGCCGGTCGTCACCTCGCTTCCATCCCCCTCCTGACCCCCTCCAGGCAGCTTCGGGATCTTCTGGTACCTGTTCTGGCTGCTCGTCTCTTATGAGTCCCCGGCGCTGCACCCCAGCATTTCAGAAGAGGAGCGCAAGTACATCGAAGAAGCCATCGGCGAGAGCGCCAAACTCATGAACCCCCTCATGGTCCGAGCCAAGCCTGCGGGGTGGGGGCGCGGTGGGGCGGGGAGAGAGATCCAAGCAGGGAGGCAGGAGAAAGGGGGCTTAGAACCCGCACAGCGAGTAGGTCGTGGTGCGTTCCCCTACTCGGGAGACCTGATGGGAACGCCCAGTGGGCGGGGCCAGAACCTGGGAGGCGGGGTTAACGCCGGGGGCGGGCCCGATTAGCAGGTGCTGGGGGCGGGGCTAGGTCGCCACTGGGGCGGGGCCACTGGTGGGCGTGGTTAAACCAGCAGAGGCGGGACTAGAATGTGGGGTTTTGCTTAGACCTGGTGGTGGGTGAGGCTAGATTTAGGAGTCGATATTGAATGGGAAGATTCCTGGGCCCACCCTTAAGGGTCCCTGAGGGTCACCGAGGCCCGACACATGCGAACCGGAGGGGCCACTGTAAATCAGGAGCCTGCATTCCTGAAGTGTCACTCGCAGTGGTTCTCAACCTTCTGGCCCTTTCAATACACTTCCTCATGCTGTGACCCAACCATAAAATTATTTCCGTTGCTACTTCATAACTGTCATGTTGCTACTGTTATGAATCGTAAAGTAACTATCTGATATGCAGGATGGTCTTAGGCGACCCCTGTGAAAGGGTTGTTCGAACGCCGAAGGGTCGCGACCCACAGGTTGAGAACCGCTGCCTAGAGGCTAGGGTGCAGGGCCCCCGCAGGGACATGGGCTGGAGCCCCTGGGGCTTTTAATGAAGTGGGGAAACCGGGGTCTCTGCGGGGCTGTAGTGAGGCTCCGGAAGGGACACGGAGAGCCCCCGGGTCCTGTCTCAGCGGCCCCTGCTCTCGCCCCCACAGAAGTTTAAAGCACCCTGGCGGCGCTTCTTCACCTCCATGCCCGTCTACGCCATCATCGTGGCCAACTTCTGCCGCAGCTGGACGTTCTACCTGCTCCTCATCTCCCAGCCCGCCTATTTCGAGGAAGTGTTCGGCTTCGAGATCAGCAAGGTTGGACCCTAGGAGGGGGCGGGGAGAGCAGGGGGCGCGGCGGGGCTGAGACAGAAGGAGCCGAGCGTTGGTCCCAAGGGGGTGGAATGAGGGACAGGGAGGAGCCGGTGCGCAGGAACCGGGTGGAGACGCCCGGCGGGCGGCCCTGAGCGCCGGCCCTGTCCTCCCCACCCCCACCCCCCACCCTTCGCGCAGGTGGGCCTGGTGTCGGCGTTGCCCCACCTGGTCATGACCATCATCGTGCCCATCGGTGGCCAGATCGCCGACTTCCTGAGGACCCGCCGTATCATGTCCACCACCAACGTGCGCAAACTGATGAACTGCGGGGGTGAGTGGGGCTGGGTCTAGACCGGTCGGGGGCCGCCTGGGCCGGGGCAGAGCGCCGTGGGGCACAGCCGGGGGCGGGTCCGCGAAGGGGTAGGTGGGGGCGAGGGCCGAACAGGGGTGTGTCCAAAAAGGCGGAGTCAAGATGAAGCTGGGACAGAAGTCCCGGGCCTCGGGGGGCAGCGTGGATGGCTGTGCAGGTGGAGCAGAGGCGAGACCTAGTTGGGCTGGAAGCGCGGGGAAGAGGGGCTGTGAGTGGGGGACCTGGAGAGACGCGGTGTAGCCGGCTACTGCCCTGGGGGTGTGGACAGAGAGGGAAGGGGTGAAGGTGCGGGGGTGGGTGGGCGGGGCTGGGACCCTGCATCTTGGGGGCGTGGCCTGGTCAGGGGGTGGGGCCACGGAGGGCCGGGCGGAGGCCTGGAGCTCGTGCGCTTGGGTGTCCGGGGCCAGGCTTCGGGCTGGCGCTGGTGGGAGGGGCAAAGCCAGGGACGGGCGGGGCGGGCAGAGGAGGGGGGGACCGGCGGGCTTAGGCCTGGAGAGCTGGCGCGGGCACCGGGACTCAGATGAGGGCCCTCCGCAGGCTTCGGCATGGAAGCCACGCTGCTGCTGGTGGTGGGCTACTCGCACTCCAAGGGCGTGGCCATCTCCTTCCTGGTCCTCGCCGTGGGCTTCAGCGGCTTCGCCATCTCTGGTGAGAACCGCGGGTCGGCAGCACCGGGGGAGTCTGGACGGCGCCGTGGGGAGCTTTCTGGCTCAGGAAGGGGGCCTCCCAGCCACGCAAAAGGCGGACTAGGAGGCGCAGCGGGGAGCGGGGAGGGACGGCTCAGAGGGAGTCACTGGAGGGAGACTCAGGCGTGCCGCCTCCTGGCTCATCTTCTCAGGGTTCAATGTGAACCACCTGGACATCGCCCCGCGCTATGCCAGCATCCTCATGGGCATCTCCAACGGCGTGGGCACGCTGTCAGGCATGGTGTGCCCCATCATCGTGGGCGCCATGACCAAGCACAAGGTGGGTGCCTTCGCCCTGACCCATTGGCCCTCCACCTCTGTGCTCGGTGCCTCCCTGATGAGGGCGGCCTCCCTGGGCTCCACCCCTGCCTCCTGCAGGTGTCTTTCAGCTTCTCTCTGGATCTGTCTCCCTTTCTCTGGGCCTCCCCTATCCCTCTAGGGCTCTCTCTCTTAAATATATTTTTATTTATTTTTAAATATATTTTTATTGATTTCAGAGAGGAAGGGAGAGGGAGAGATAGAGACATCAATGATGAGAGAGAATTATTGATTGGCTGCCTCCTGCACGCCCCCTACTGGGGATCGAGCCCACAACCCAGGCATGTACCCTTGGCCAGAATCGAACCTGGGACGCTTCAGTCCGCAGGCCGAAGTTCTATCCACTGAGCTAAAACTCCCTCTTCACTTCCTGTTCCTCTGGCCTCCAACAGACTCGGGAGGAGTGGCAGTACGTGTTCCTAATCGCCTCGCTGGTGCACTATGGAGGGGTCATCTTCTATGGGATCTTCGCTTCCGGAGAGAAGCAGCCATGGGCGGAGCCTGAGGAGATGAGCGAGGAGAAGTGTGGCTTTGTTGGCCACGACCAGCTGGCCGGCAGTGATGAAAGCGAAATGGAGGATGAGGCTGAGCCCCCTGGGGCGCCCCCTGCTCCCCCTCCCTCCTATGGGGCCATACACAGCACAGTGCTGCCCCCAAGACCCCCACCCCCTGTCCGGGGCTACTGACCATGTGCCTCCCACTGGATGGCAGTTTCCAGAACCTCCATTCCACACATCTCTGGCCTGAGTGACAGTGTCAAGGAACCCCAGTCCTCACTGTCCTGCCTCAGGCCTAGGAAGCACTCTCCCTTGCTCCCAGTGCTGTCGAATCCTCTTCCTTTCCCAATTGCCTCTCAGGGTAGTGAAGCTGCAAATGGCAGTTTCAAGGATACCCAGATTCCCCTAAGGGTTCCCTTCTCTACTTGTTTTGCCTCAGTGGTTCCAAACCTCTCCTTTCAGGGCTTTATTTCCATGGACAGTTCGGTCTCTCACTCTCTCTTGTGGTTTTGAGGCAACTTCTCCCCTTCCTTTAACCCCAGGGATCCTGAGTTACTCGGCCCCCCCTCTTCTCTCAGAAAAATTCAAGGTCTTCCTCTAGAGGTTTCAAATCTCTCCTAAATCTATTCTGCATTTTTTTTTCAGGTTGGTTTAGCCAATCACCCATCCCCACTATTTTAGAGATCGATTCTCACCAGCGTTTCTGAGGGAAAATGGTGGTTTCAAGACCCCCTCCAACCTCTTCACCCCTCCTCCCCTCCACCAGCAGATTCTGCTGAACACACCAAATCCCCAAGACCTTCTCCCTAGCTTAGTGCAATGTCTAGGGACACCACCCAGACAGCAGGTTTATCAGTACGCCTCACTCCACCCCTATGCACTTTTTCGGACAGTTTTCAGGGTTAAATAGTGGCTGCTCAAGTTCATCAGTGGTTTGAAGCCACCACCATTGAACTTCCCCACGGTGGTTTCAACATGTCCCCTTCCCCCCCAGCTCCTTGCACTTTATTCTCCTGGGTGGTTTCAAACCACCCTCATTTTCTCAGTGGCCATTTTTCGTGTCCCTCAGGGGCTAAATGACTCAAATTCGGGGATGCTACCCTCTCACACACCTTTCTTTTGGCTTAGAATTTGGGGAACAAGTATAAGAGAAGTCACAGAATCCCCGGAAAGGGAAGGGGGCTGGGGCGAGAGGTGTTTTCCCCGGGGCAGGGTACCTCTGTGTGTGTCTGTCTCTGTGACTGTAAGCCCTGCCCTGCCCCACTCCCAATAAAGTGCTTTGGTGGACACACCCAGGCCTCCTCATTGGGCCAGTGGCCGTGGGAGTCCCAGCCCCAGGCCCTCCCCTCCTGCAGACCCGGAGTTCGAGGGCCCTCCTCCCCCAGGAATCAGGCCAGAGCAGGTGGCTAGGAGGGAGGGATCTCGTGATTTATTGGGCCTCAGCGAGGGCACCTCTGCGGTGGGCTCTATCTGAGGGCACCGCTACTAGCAAAGCATGCCGGGAGGGTAGGATGCCTGAGGATGGCGCACGCCTGGAGGGGCCGGGAGGGGCTCACACGAAGTTGTCGGGGAGCGTGGCCGGGGAGAGCGGCTCCAGGCGCTGGGAGCGGCCCCCGCGGGGCGGCGGGGGCAGCTTGGGCGGCAGCGGAGGAGTGGGCGGCGGCTGCTTGGTGGCGATGTGTGAAGGGATCCAGGCATCCGGCGCGTAAAAGTAGAGATCGTACGGCTCCTTGGGAGTGTCCAGGTGCAGGACTGTGGGAGCAGAGGGCGCGGTCATCCCAGGGCTGGCCAGGAGCCTGCCCCCGCCGCTGGGCCGCTGGCCAGAGAGGCTGCTGACCGTCCTTAGCAGCTGGGTTTTCAAATCAGAGGGCGAGGGGAGGGCCCTTGTGTAGACGAGGGGGCGTGGTGTCCGCGCGGCAGGGGCGGGGCTTGATGCCAAGAGGGCGGGGCTTACAGGGCTCCTGGCGGGGCGGGGGCGGGGTTTGCAGGGACCTGTAGCTGCGAGCCTGCAGCCCGTCCCAGCTGGTCTGGGGGAAGCACTGGGCTTGTGTGTGTGAAATTTCATAGAGAACTGGGTGGGGGAGGGGGGCGACTGACCATGGAGGGGTCAGGGCTTCTGTTGGCCTTGGATGGGGGACCTGTACTTGTTGGCGGGGCGCCCTATGCAGGTGAAACCAGGTGAAGGAAACGGCTGGGACTCCGGGCGGGCGCTGTCAGGGCCGCTCACCCGACTCGTCTCCGTCGTTCGGAAGCCGGTGGTGTGCGAAGGGCCGGTGCCGAGCCGCCCGGCGGTAGAGACACCACAGCAGCAGGAAAATGCCGATCAGCAGCCCGGTCCCGGCGAAGAAGAGGCACAGGGCCCCTCCCGCCCCGCCCCGGGGGCGTCCCACCAGGGTCACGCCTGAAGGAAGGAGCCCGGTTATAAGTAATCTAAGCTCCCAGCCCCTCCTCCCTCTGACCCGGGGGTCCAGGCCCCCAGTCCCTTCTCCCTCAGACCCAGGAGCCCAGGCCCCCAGCCCCTCCTCCCTCTGACCCGGGGGTCCAGGCCCCCAGTCCCTTCTCCCTCAGACCCAGGAGCCCAGGCCCCCAGCCCCTCCTCCCTCAGACCCAGGTGTCCAGGCCCCCAGCCCCTCCTCCCTCAGACCCAGGAGCCCAGGCCCCCAGCCCCTCCTCCCTCAGACCCAGGGGTCCAGGCCCCCAGCCCCTCCTCCCTCAGACCCAGGGGTCCAGGCCCCCAGCCCCTCCTCCCTCAGACCCAGGGGTCCAGGCCCCGGCCCCTCCTCCCTCAGACCCAGGGGTCCAGGCCCCCAGCCCCTCCTCCCTCAGACCCAGGAGCCCAGGCCCCCAGCCCCTCCTCCCTCAGACCCAGGGGTCCAGGCCCCAGCCCCTCCTCCCTCAGACCCAGGAGTCCAGGCCCCCAGCCCCTCCTCCCTCAGACCCAGGGGTCCAGGCCCCCAGCCCCTCCTCCCTCAGACCCAGGGGTCCAGGCCCCCAGCCCCTCCTCCCTCAGACCCAGGGGTCCAGGCCCCCAGCCCCTCCTCCCTCAGACCCAGGGGTCCAGGCCCCCAGCCCCTCCTCCCTCAGACCCAGGGGTCCAGGCCCCCAGCCCCTCCTCCCTCAGACCCAGGGGTCCAGGCCCCCAGCCCTCCTCCCTCAGACCCAGGGGTCCGGGTCCCAGCCCCTCACCGGTCTCCTTCACTCGTTCCACCAGGATGATAGTGTTGACTCTCTCACCTCGGCTGCGTCGCTGGGGGGCCCGCTGAGTGGCAGGGGCCGGCTGATTGGGGGACCCTGAAGGAGCAGGGGGGTCCGCGATCCGGGAGGAGGAAAGAGCGACATCTGGCCCTTTAGGGCTAGAGCTCTGGGAGGCCTTGGGCTCAACAGTCCCAGGAAAATCAGAGGCGGGCAGTTTAAGGGAGTTGGGCTGGGTGGCCGCAGGGGTTTCTGGCTCTTGGTTCAGGGGCAGGTCGTGCAGGGCAGTAGCCTGGTCCCTGGGGGGTGCGGGCGTGTCTGGGTGAGGACTGGTGGAGGTTTCAGGGGCAGAGTCCCTGGCGATCTCTGTGGCACCTTGGTGGAGGGTTGTGGGGAGTTTTGATTGGGGGATTTCAGTGGGGCCAGGGTGGTGGGTTACGTGGGATTCTGGGTGGGGGGTATCAGTAGAGTTGGGGTGGAGGGGCTGAAGGAATTCAGTGCTTGGGGTCTCAGCGGTGTTGGGGTCATGGATTTTTGGAGTTTCGGGGTGAAGGGTTTTGGTGGGGTCAGGATCAGGGACCTCTGCCTGTGGGATTTCACTGGAATTAAGTTTGGGGATCCCTGGGAATTCCTGGTGTGCAGTTTGGGGAGGGTCAGGACCCAGGGTCCCAGGAAATTCTGACTGTAAAGTTTTGGAGGAATTAGGTTGGGGGGCCTCAGGGTATTTGGGGTGTGGAATTTCAGGCAGGTCAGTGGTGGGGGTCTCAGAAGGTTCTGGATGTGTCATCTGGGAGGGGTTAATTTGGGGGGTCTCCAAAGCTTCTGATGTTGAGGTGTTGAGTGAGTTAGGTTTGGGGGTCTCAGGAGACTCTGGGTGTGGAATTTCAGGCAGGTCAGGCGTGGGGGTCTCAGAAGGTTCTGGATGTGTCATCTGGGAGGGGTTAATTTGAGGGGTCTCCAGGGCTTCTGATGTTGAGGTGTTGAGTGAGTTAGGTTTGGGGGTCTCAGGAGACTCTGGGTGTGGGGGTTCTTGGAGGTCAGCGTTGGGGGTGTCAGTGACGTTATGGGGAGAGGACTCAGGGAAACCCGGATGAGGCGCCTTGGAGGGCTCCGGAGAAGCCATCCCAGGGGGTTCCGGGTGCGGCTGGTGGAGAGTGGCATTTTCAGGAGCAGGAAGAAGGGGTTCCGAGGGGAGGCCCATCCTTGGGAAGTCCGAGCCCGCAGCTGGTGAGGCCGAAGGCGCGGCCTCGGAACCCCGCCCAGCGAGGAGGAAGACGAGGAAGAGGATGGGGCCGAAGGCTCTCATGGCTCTGGAAGACGCCTGTCGCTGCCGGGGAGCGGGAAGGAAGGGGCTCAGTCAGGAGGCTGCCCCGAGTCCCTGCCCACGCCCGGAGGCCACGCCCACTGGTCCCCAGACGGACCGCTGCCCCTGCCCAGCTGGTCCCAGGGAAAGCAGAACCTTACTGCATGTCCCTGAAGGTTGGGGCGTTGGCTGCCGTAGCTAAGAGACACGGCCGCGGGGCTTCTTGGGAGTCGTAGTTAATTTCCTTATCTGTTTCCCCAAGGGGGTCCCAGAAAAATTGGGGGGAAATGACACCTCTCCAAGTCCTTAGACCTCCTCAACTTCGACTTCAGAGGATGTCGATCTCTGAATGGACTGGGGGTACCTTCCTCTCCGAGGGCCCCAGGGACACCTGGACTCCATAGTTGTTTACACCAGGAGGCTCAGAAGGAAGGACTGGTGCTGGGGGCTGAACCCCTGGATCTGAGGGAGGAGGGAGACTCTTGGGTCCAGGGCAAGAAGGCTGCTGGGGGTTCAGACCAATTCCCAGAGGGTGGAGGGCCCTGTGGGTCAAATTCCTGCTTCTTTAGAGAGAAGCCTGCAGGTTCGGATGTTGAGGGTTTTGAGGGAGCCAGGCTTGGGGGCTGGGTTATCGGCAGAAGGACATGGGAGTCTTGAACTCGTGGATCCTGAGTGAGAAGGAGGTTAGGAACTCTGAGTCTCGGGTCTTGCAGAGATAGGGGTGTAGGGGTTTGAACTCCTCAGCCTGCAGGAGGAGGGAGTTGTGGGGGACTCAGGCCTCTGTTTACTGAGGATGAAGCTTAGGATTCAGGGTCTCAGGGGCTGGTCTGTGGTCAGGTGGAGGTAGGCTTGGAGGACACCTGGATGCGACAGGGTCACTCGGGGCCCTGGGTTTCCTACCTGTTCAGGGGGGTCCGAGATAACAGCAGGTAAGCAGAGCTGGGCGCAGAGACCAGTGAATGCTGCAGAATGGCTCTGGGCGGGGCAGCAGGAGGTAGGGTCCCAGGGCGCAGGTGACGCACCTGACTCCCTCCCTGGGGATCCTGGGAGCCTAGCGACAAGCTTGGGATCTTAAAGGGACAGAGCTAAAGTACATTGTCTCCAGTCCTGACCGGTTTCTCAGTGGTTAGGGTGTTGCCCTGCAGACCCAAGGGTTGTGGGTTAGATTCCTGGCCAAGGGCACATACCTCCTCTGCGGGTTCCCCGGCCCCAGTTGGGGCACGTGCAGGAGGCAACCAATCGATATGTCTCACATCTACGTTCCTCTCTCCCTCCCCCTCTCCTTCCACTCTCTTTAGAAATCAATGGGAAAAAAGCACATTGTCTCTCGAGCAGGGAAGGGAGTTAGGGACTGGCTTATCTGGTGGAGGGATGTGGCCCAACCGAGTGGAAGTCCCTGGTGCCAAACTACGCCAAGACCCAGGAGCCAGGAATAGACATCCCCAGGCCCCTCCTCCACCAGAATCCAGGAATCTAAACCCAGGAGCCTGAGCCCAGGCCCTGTCCCCCTCTTTTCTGGGGAAATACGAGTCCAGCTCCCCACATCTTGCCAGATTGCTACTGCCTTTGGGACTTCCCAACCTTTGCCCACCTTCCCACTGTGTGGAATGCACCTTCTTAATAGCGTGGGTGTGGATTGGGGTTTATCTTCACAACACCCCACACTCCGCCCCGGGAAGGGTTAGGCACATCCACGGGGCAGCTCCCGGCCCTGTCCCTGTCCCTGTCCCCGCTCCCCGAGCTCTGTAAGACTTTCCTGTCGTTTTCCCTGCCTTCACACCCCACCACACAAGCCTTTGTCTCTCTCCCCTCTCCCCTTCCCTATCTCACACTCTCTGATTCTCTGCCTGCCGGGGCTTATCTCTGGGCATTTCTGTCCAGCTGGCTGTCCTTCCATTTCCTTCTGTCTTTCCCAGAGCCTTTCCCTCCTCTCTAGCTGGCCCTCTTTGTCAATTTCCTTTTCTCTCTTCCTCTTTTTTTTTTCCTTCTGTCACAGTCTCTGTCCTTCTCATGGTTACTTCACCTCTTTGTGTCTCTGCTTCTCCCCATCAGTTCCTCCGTGTGGCTTTTCCAGTGTCTCTCTCTCTCTCTGTGTGTCTCTGGCTTCTGCTCTGATGGTCCCTCTGCCCGTCTCTATTTTTATCCCTCTGACACACCCCCTGCGTCCACCTCTCTGTCTGTCCGTCTCTCCCCCTCCCGCGTCTGCTCAGGACCCAGCTCCTGGTCCCAATTAGTTGATCGCCGCCAAGGCAGCGGCGGGCCCCCCACCCCCAGCTCCTCATTACAGCCGGCGGCTCCTAATGAGCCTGGGGGGAGGCTGACCCCACGCCCCCGGCCCCTGGTCTGCGTCACTGCCCGCTGCGGGGGCTGCGGGAGGGATATAAGGGGGCTGCCTGCTCGCTGCCCAAGTCCACTGCGCGGTAGGGGCCCTGGGACCTGGCTGCTGGGGGTGGGTAAACTCTGGGGCTCGGGGCCAGGCCACCGGCCTCACGGAGCCCTTCCCTGTCTCTCCGCAGGTGATGGAGCCTCGCCAGGTGCCCCGGAGCTCCCGGGCGCGGCTCCTGCTGCTGCTCCTGCTGCTGGTCCCCTGGGGCGTGCGCACTGCCGCAGGCGTCGCCCTGCCCCCCGCCGGGGTCTTCAGGTACGTGCGACGCCCAGAATTCCCAGGGAGGGGGTGCGGGAAGAGAACCACAGAGAAAGGAATCGGAGACTCAGAGAGGCTCTGCGCAGAGAGCAAGAAAGAGGACAGAGACTAGGGTGAGAGAGATGCGGGTGGGCAGGGAAGCAGCAAGAGATACAAAAGGATACAAGCTGGGGAAGGACGGGAGGGACTTAAAAGGAGTCAGAGCAGAACCGGGTTCGTTCCTCGAACGCCGACTGTTGGGTGCATGGGGCGTGCCCGGCCCTGCGCTGGGCGGAGGCAGGCCAGGGCATCAGACTTGTCTCTGTGCTCGGGGAGCTCCGAAGCTGGGGAACAGAGACAGCGACCCGCGCAGAGCAACAGAGGCAGAGAACGGAGACCGGGCCACTCCCCGGACGGTGCAGTAACGGGGCCTCGAGTTAGACCACGGGGAGGACAGGGGGTGGCGGGCGGAGGGCCCGGGCACGCGGTGACCGCGTCTCTCCGTCTCCCCGCAGCCTCCGCACCCCGGGCGGAACCTGGGCGGCCCGGGCCAGCCCCCCGTCGCGGCGGAGCCTGGCCCTGGCAGACGACGCGGCCTTCCGGGAGCGCGCGCGGATGCTGGCCGCCCTGGAGCGCCGCCGCTGGCTGAACTCGTACATGCACAAGCTGCTGGTGCTGGACGCGCGCTGAGCGCCCGCGGGCGTGTTAATAAAGACCCTGCCGTGCGCCAGGACTCCGCCTCCTTCCTGCGCCCGTGTGTGTGTGTGTGTGTGTGTGTGTGTGTGTGTGTGTGTGTGTGTAAGGTAGGGGTGGGGGGTGGGGGGTGGGAGCGGGCCCAGCACCGCTTACACTGGCATCTCACCCCTCAGCCCCCTCCATTCATGCACAGCCCCACCTCTCCATCTCTGCGCTACCCTCTCATTCCGAGCCTCTGTTCCTCCCACCCCTGAGGCTCTGTTCTCTCTGGGTCTCTGTCGCTCTCTAGGTGTCTGTCCTCCCTTCTCTGAGTCTTCGTACTTCTTTTTCGCCCTGGGAATCTCTCTCTCCTCTCTCTTCTTGCTGCCCCTAAAACTCTTCCTTCCATTCTTCACTTTTCTCTCTCTGCCTAACTCCTTCGTGTCTTCCTACTTTTCTTCCTTTGGGTCCCCGTCTCTTTCTTCCAGCTCTCACTAGTCTTAAATTTTGCTGTTTCCGCTGTCTTATCCCGACTTCTTTGGGCGCAGTGGTGCGATCAGGGACTCTGATGTGAGCTGCACCTGCCGTTGAAGACCAGGCTCCCGCAAACGTGTGGTATTGGAAAGGGCTTAACCTCTGAGTATCCTTTTCCTCATCTGAGGATTAATCGGATACACTGTGAGGACTTCAGAACTGCGCCCCGCACGAAGCGAACGTTATCAGAAGAGTTTCCCCGCCCTGACCGGTTTGGCTCAGTGGATAGAGCGTCGGCCTGCGGACTCAAGGGTCCCAGGTTTGATTCCGGTCAAGGGCATGTGCCTTGGTTGCGGGCACATCCCCAGTAGGGGGTGTGCAGGAGGCAGCTGATCGATGTTTCTCTCTCATTGATGTTTCTGACTATCCCTCTCCCTTCTTCTCTGTAAAAAAATCAATAAAATATATTTAAAAAAAGAAAAAAGTTTCCCCCTCTCTCGAAGCATCTCCAGCAGCTTCTCCAGGGTTTCCTGTGTCCCGGGGAGACCGACAGAGGGACAGGTTGGGGCGGGAAAAGAGGAGAGAGAACCAGTCATCAGGCTCCCGGAGTCAGGGGCGGGGGCGGGGAGACACCTGGGCTGCCAGGGAAGCGAGGCAGCGGCCAATCAGAACCTGCCATCCTGGAGTCTCCGCCAGCCCTCCAGCCCCGCCCCTCAAGGTGACTGACAACCTCCTACTTCTCAGACGCCGAGGGCTTGGAACTGCGTGCCCTGGGCGCAGCTCGCGCGGACCGCGCTGTGATTGGTCTACTAGCGAAGGGGTGAGGCTGGGCGTGGCCGCTAACCGAAGGGGGCGGGGCGGACTCTTGGTGATTGGCAAGCTCTCCCATAATTTGCACCGCGCCATAATTGCCCTTTGGGCCATGAGGTGGGTCTGTTTCTGCGTAGTTGAAATACTGAGTAACTGTAATCTTCAAAATCATCCAGAGTTGGCCAATTTTTACAAATAAGACTCTGAAAGTCAGGACTAATTTCCCCAAGTTGCCAGCGCTAACAAAGCACAGGATAGCTGGAACCCAAACCTGTGCAACTTCAAAGTCTAAACCTTTCCACTCTGCTGATGGAGAAATGGAGTTACAACCTTACAAGCAGTTACCATATGCCGGGCCCTCTTCTAGACACTGAGTAGCCTCATTCTGCCCTTCACACACTACTTCCTGCCTAGATCTCCACAGCGGGTAACACCCAGACCTCCATTTCCAGACGGAGAGCTCAGGGCTCCAGCCACCTCTGGGAACCCTGACCCCCACCCCATTCCATATGAGCTCCTTCTCATGGGCTCTCCATCTTGGGAATGGCTTTATAGTCTACCAGTGGCCCGGTGCACATTTGTGCAGGGGGGCGGGGGAGAATGTCCCTCAGCCCAGCTTGCACCCTCTCCAATCTGGGACCCCTCAGGAGATGTCTGACATCCCTCTCGCAATCTGGGACTGCTAGCTCCTAACCGCTCACCTGCCTGATCACCCCTAACCACTCTGCATGCCAACCTTCTCGCCCCCTACTGCCCCCCATTGCCAGCCTGCTCACCCCAACTGCCCTCCCCTCCTGGCCTGATCGCCCCTAACCACCTCTGCCTCGGCCCCGCCACCATGGCTTTGTCTGGAAGGGCATCCGGAAGGTCTCCCGGTCTAATTAGCATATTACCCTTTTATTAGTATAGATTAGCCACTGGGTGGGTACTGTCCTTGTCCTTCCCTCTTCCTTCACAGCCTGTCAGTCCCTGACTCCGTCCTTCCTGCCCTGCCTCTCTCCACCTTTCTTTCCACCCAGACATCAGGTCCAGCTCAGACCTCTCCCACCTGGGCCCTAGCCCCAGCCTTCTCCCCACCTCCTGCCTCAGCCTCACTTCATTACTCATCCCCTATGCAGGCTCGGGTCTCTTTCCCACTCCGAGTTAATTTTGTCCCTTCCCTGCTCAAGCCCTTTCTTGGGCACTTAGGAGTAAAGTTCATGGTGGTGTCTAAAACCCTTCATGGGCTCTTGCCCACCTATCTTAATTTCACCACTCTGTAGCCTTCAATTCTTCCTGGCTTCACATCATTTTCTTTAAAGAATTTTAAAAAATATTTTTATTGATTTCAAAGAGGAAGGGCGAGGGAGAGGGAGAAAAACATTAGTACTGAGAGAGCATCATTGATTGGCTACCTCCTGCACACCCCACTGTGGATCGAGCCCTCAACCCCGGCACGTGCCCAGACCGGGCATTGAATCGTGACCTCCTGGTTCACAGGTTGACGCTCAACCACTGAGCCACGCTGGCCGGGCTCTTTTAGTTTTAATCCCAGCAGCACGGTGCTGCCAATGGCTCTCCACACAGGGAGGGGATCTTTCCCACCCCGTTTTCACACATATTTACTTCCTCTGCCTGCAGCATCCTCCTCAGCCCCTGCTCATTGTAGCCAACTTCACCCACCTTTCAAACTGAACAGATGTCATGGATCTGGGGAGAAACCTCTAGCCTCCAGGCTGAGCCAGGTGCCTTTCTGGGGTGTGAGTCTGTCCCACCCTTGCTCAAAACTCTCCCATGGAAGCCTCTGTGGTGCTGAGACTGGTCTGTATCTTGACCCAGGTCGGGTTTTAGTTTGGAATGCTTACATATGCAAAAACTCACCCAGCTGATACTTAAGATTTGTCCATTTATCTGTATGTAAGTCACACCTCTATTAAGACATCAATAACCAAAACAAGCAACAAACCTCTCAAGCCTCCCATCATCCCTGGGGAAAATGAACGCTCCCAGCCTGACAGTGGAGGGCCCGTTTCTCTAAGCTTCATCTTTTAAGGTCTAGTTGTGGCAACTAGACGATCACTGTGTTTGTGGAGTGAACAAATGACGCCTGGCCCCCTTCCTGGCCGTTTGCATGTAGCGGACGGACATCTGTGGTGTGTGCCTGGCCCACATCTCCCTCTTTCTGCCAGGAGAGGTGCTTGGTCTCCTTGCAGCCCGGGGTGATGATGCCAAACAGTCTGGCCAACAGGATATAAACACAGGTCTGCTGCTGGCTCTGGGAAGGCTACTGCTTTTCTTTATAAAAAAGAAGGGCCACATCGCCTTCTCTGCAGAGACGATGTATGAAGCCACAGTGTCCACCATCCCCTGAGCACGAGAGGGGCCAGGAGGGTCACAGACTCAGCGCCCTAGCCGGAGGCTGTGGAGACGGAGCTGTGGGCCTCGTGCTGTTCTCCAGGCTTGTTTTGTGAGGACAAGAAACCCCTAGCACTTACTCCATTATTGGGCGCGTTTTGCCATTATCAAGAAATGTAGTAAAAACCATCACAAAACCAAGAGACTTCACATAAAGACCCCATTCCGGGGCGTGGATCCTGGAGTACTGAGCTGCATCTGGGGTCTTGATAACAGTGGCACAACAACAGGAACAACAGTAAAAAGAGTCCGAGGAATTCACCGAACTAGACGTTGCTCTGAGGGGCGGGGAGCATGGCTCACACTGGGGGAGGGCCCAGGTGGCAGAGCTGGAGGTGGGGCCAGGTGGGGGGCGGGGGCTGGCCCAGCAGCAGGACGGAGAGCAGCAGCAGCAGCAGGAGACCCAGGACAGGCGCGGGAATCAGCGGATGCCGCCTGACCCTGGTGGGGTGGCAGGACAGTGCTTAGGGCAGGGCCCGGAGGAGCCTATGTGCCCCGATGACTGACCACCATTTCCTTTTGGTGATACCTTGGGGCTCACCTGAGCTGCTGGGGTTGGGGGTGCAGGGGGCACAGGCAGAAGTGGCTCCAGACTGGCCTCCTAACCGGAACCAGCTTCCTCTCCACAGGCACCAGCGCGTGCTGTAGGTCTGGTTGGGAGGGGCTGCTGGAGAGAGAGGAAGGCAGGGCAGTCACACTGGACATTGTCCCCAAGTTCCCTCCCAGTCCCTGGGGGTCCCAGTACCTCTCAGGAGGGCTGCTTGGAATGTCTCCAGGGTGAGGGTCTCCCAGAAGGATGGAGAGATCAGCCTGGAAGGACAAAGGAGATGACAAACTTGGGACATGGGGTCCTGGGCAGAAGTGACCCCATGGAAGGGGGTGGAACAGAGTGAATGAATGGCTCCGTGCGTGAACACTGAAATACACTGCCGGATTGGGGTCCGAGCTCTGCCAGCTCCTGGCCGTGTGTCCTTTGGCACATCACCTGACCTCTCCACACCCCACTTTCCCCACCTGCTGGACAGGGATGACGACAGTGCCCACCTCACAGGCCTAAAGTGGAGACTGACTGAGTGAATTCAGGTTTAAAAAAAAGTGAGCACGGGGCTCAGAACAGTGCCTGGCACACAGTGAGTGCTCCATAACTGTGTGAGCTACCCAACTTGATTATTTCCACTTCCACTGGATTCTGAAGTATCCAATGGCCATAGAAATACAGTAATAAATAACGAATAACAGAACACCAGTGCCAGCTACCACCTTCACCACGGCCACCTACTGTGTGCCTGCTCCGTGTCAGGCCTGGAGCCAGGCCCTTTCCGACATGATCCTTAACCCTCATCCCACCGAGAGCCGAGAGGCCGGTGAGGATCCTCACACCAGCTTGAGGAAGTGGAGGTGGGACCAGGCTCCACAGAGGGTGTGGCAGGAAGGAGGTGGGCTTTGCGGTCAGGCTGCTCAGAGAGACCATGTGGGACGGTTGGACCCTGCAGGGTCCAGGTGCCTGGCACACTTGGGCTCTCACACCCTCAGCCGAGGACTGCAGGCTCCTCACTCACGTCACCACATTGCCTTCCCTCCCTTTCCCTGTCTGAGAATGGGGATGGTCACCTGCTGCTTGGAAAAGCAAAGGACCCGGTGTGTGTGGTGCTGGGCAGGGGGGTGCTGAGGCCCGCTGCGGAGGGCCCAGCCCCTTCCTGTGTGTGGGCGCATGTGCGTATGCATTTTCGCAATCCGGGGGTGTAGCCACGTCTGTGAGGCCGGTGGTGTGACGGCTGCAGCCCTGTGTGTGCTTGTGGGGGGGTCCCCTGGGAACATTCTGGCCGCCCACTGGCCTGTAGGCCACCACCCACAGCACCATCCGCTCTCATTAGCTACAGCGAGGGCCTTGTTATCTCTTGGCCAAATGATTTTTCTGTCTGCTCAGGGGAAGTGAGGTGCAGGCGGGAGCTGGGAGGAGCTGTGATGACATCAGTCCCCTCCAAGGGCCCGAACGGAGTGGATGGGCACTGGGGAGGGTGCGGGGACTGCCTACCGTGCCGTGGATCTCTGCTTCCTCCTCTTCCTCTCTTCTGGGCAACCTGGGGCAACAACAATGTCACTGCAAGCTTCTTCCCTCTGCCTGGATCCCGTTTGCCCGTGAGGGGCTCAGGGGAACCTTTAAAGTTGGGGCCTTAAGGAGGATGGACCTGGATCTGTGACCTCAAAAAGGGTGCGAGGGTCTCTTCATCTCACTGGCTTTCTCAGGGGCTACTTTTCTAGGTGATGCGCCAGCGAGGAGCTGAGGCTTCCAGCTCTCACTCCCCAAAGCACCAGAGGCTCAGACCAGGGCCTGAGGAGACCCCGCCCCTGCTTCCTGCTGGGTTGCACCATTTTCACTAAGCCTCAGTCTCACTGGCTTTTTTTTTCAGGACCCGAACTCCAGAATCCGACTGTGTAGGGCCCACTCCCATCCTAGGCCGTTTCTCTTAGGGGGTATGGGCCCAGCCTCTGCTCACCGAGGCTCACAGGTGCCTGAAATGCCTCTTTAGAGACTCGGGTCTCAAGCTGCCAGCCTGGATAGCCCCTGAGACCCAGATGTCCACATTCCTAGCCATCACCTTCGCTGGGAACAAGGGATTTGGCCCTCCAGTTTCAGACCCGACACCCTCAGGATACAGTCAGCGCCCCAAAAAGCATCTAGCCCCTCTCAAGGTTCAGGCCCTTAACCCTAGCCACTTCCAGGGCCACCGATTTCACTACCTCCCTCACTCCCATCTTCCTGATCTGTGCATCACACCACCCCTGCCCCCCAGCTGAGATGTCCAGCCCCTCCCCTTCTCCCTTCCATTTCTCGGTGACTGAGGGGAGGTCACATCTCTGGAGCCCCCATCCCTCCCAACCTCAGCTTTCCCAGAGAGTCCAATTAGAGCCCATGGCAGGCAGCCTCATTAGTTGCTACAGCCAGGAGCTGAAAGAGGGGTGGGGAAGAGGGTGGCACCACAGGAAACCACAGGCCCCCAGGAAAGGGCCCCAAGGAGGGTTCCTGCAGGCATCTAGTGCTGTTTCTATCCTCAAAGGCCTGCACACAAGCCTCATAACAACCACAGGTCCACGGCACCATGCCAAAGGCACCAACACATCCTCTATCACAAAAGGACTGAGCTGGGATTTGAACCCCAGGTGTCTGACCCCAGAGCCCTCATGATTGCCTGACTGCCTGGGTGCTCCCCAGGGGCCCAATCTGGGTCTCATTTATCCCAGGTTCCCTAGAGGCCTTGGAGAGGTGTGTTCAGTGAGAGTGACTAGGTGACTGAGCTGCCCATCTTCCTGACAATGATCTTCTTTTACTAAGAGTCTCCTATATGAATACCACTCTTACAAGACCCCATTCAGGCATCGCCTCCCTCTCCCCCGGGTGGGGTCAGGTGCCAGATGTCCTCCGGGGACTCTGTGGGCCAGGGCTATTTCTCCCAGGCCGGGAGTCACTGAGGCAGGGCTGGATCTGACTCATGCTGGTCCACAGGCCCAGGGTCGCCTCAGCATGTGAGTGAGTGAGTGAGTGAATGAATGAATGAATGAATGAATGAGTGAGTGATGAGGCTCCAGCAGGGCTCTTAGAGTTCTTCTATTCCCTCTGTCTGAGAATCAGGAGGTGTCACCCCGAGGCAGAGGATGGGTTTGGGAGGAGCAGGCTTCTTACCACATTGACCGCTCCTTCCTTCCTTCATGCGGGTATGCTGGCTCTCCCTGGAAGTTCCTCTGGGGGGGGGGGGGGAGAAGGTTAGATCTCCGGGCTACCACCATCTTCTTAAAAAACCTGCCTTCCTCCTGGGCCTCCTCGAGGACAGCTCTACCCCCCTCACTGACCCCCGCCCCAGGAGCAGAAACTGGAGCAGTTCTAGACCACATCAAGTCCATTTCTTCTTCAGGACCCAGGAGTCCAGGTCCCCCAAACTTCTCACCTGGGCCCCAAAGGGGCTCAGTGGTCCCCTTTCAAACTCCATTCTCCTCCCAGGGTCCCAGTCTTGGGTCATTTGTTCTCCCTCAGGACCAAGGTCTCTCTCTGTTTTTTCCAGACACATCTTATCCTACGACTTCAACCAACTTGACACTGTTTTCTAAATGCATCCCTGAGCCAGGCCGGTGTGGCTCAGTGGTTGAGTGTTGGCCTATGAACCAGGAAGTCATAGTTTGATTCCCAGTCAGGGCACATACCTGGGTTGTGGGCTGGATCCCCAGTAGGGGGCCTGCAGGAGGCAGCCAATCAATGATTCTCTCATCATTGATGTTCCTATCTCTCCCTCTCTCTCCTCCTTCCTCTCTGAAATCAATAAAAATATATTTTAAAAAATTACTATAGCCCTAGCTAGTTTTGCTCAGTGGATAGAGCACTGGCTGATAGACCAAAGGGTCCTGAATTTGATTCTGGTCAAGGGCATGTACCTTGGTTGCAGGCTCTTCCCCAGTCCAGGCCCTGTTCAGGGATCATGCAACCAATCAATGTGTTTCTCTCACATCAATGTTTCTCTCACGTCTTTCCCTCTCTCTTCCACTCTCCCTAAAAATCAATGGAAAAATATCCTTGGGTGAGGATTAACCAAAAAAAAAAAAAATTAAAAACATTTTTTTTTTTCCTGGTTGCCCTGGCCAGGTAGCTCAGTTGCTTAGAGTGTTGTTCTGCTATACCAAGGTTGCGAGTTCAAGCCCTGGTCAGGGCATATATAAGAAGCAGCAACCAATAAATGCATAAATAAATGGAACAACAAATCTATGTTTCTCTAAAATAAATAAATAAATTTCTTCTGGCACTAATAGATTAAAATCTCACTTCTTAGTGTGGACATTAAAGATGAGTTCTCTCGCCCTAGTCAGTTTGGCTCAATGGATAGAGCAATGGCCTGTGGACTGAATGGTCCCAGGTTAGATTCTGGTCAGGGGCATGTCTCAGCTGCAGGCTCAATCCCTGGCCCTGGTCGGGGTGTGTGCAGGAGGCAGCCGGTTGATGTGTCTCTCTCACATTGATGTTTCTCTCTTTCTCTGTCCCTTCCCCTCCCTTCTACTCTCTCTAAAAGTCAATGGAGCTCTAGCCAGTTTGGCTCAGTGGATAGAGCATTGGCCTGCAGACTGAAGGGTCACAGGTTCGATTCCTGCCAAGGGCACATGCCCGTGTTGTAGGCTGGATCCCCATTAGGGGGCGTGCAGGAGGCAGCCCATCAATGATCCTCTCTCATCATTGATGTTTCTGGCCCCTTATGGATCTGTCTCTCTCTTCCTCTTCCTTCCTCTCTGAAATCAATAAGGAAATATATTTTTTAAAAAATCAATGGAAAAATATCCTTGGGTGAGGATTAAAAAGAAAAGATGAGTTGCCTCAGTTATTTAAAGTTATGTAATATTATTGTTCAGGTTATTACAAAATTCATACAACAATGGCTCCTTTTTTTATTTGTTAATCCTCATCTGAGGATATTTTTTTCTATTGATTTTTAGAGAGAGTGGAAGAGAGGGAGGGGAGAGGGACAGAGAGAGAGAGAGAGAGAGAGAGAGAGAGAGAGAGAAATATCCATGTGAGGGAGACACATCGACTGGTTGCCTCCTGCAGGCACCCCAAATGGGGCTGGGGATAAAGCCTGAAGATATGTGTCCTTGATGGGGAAGTGAACCCAGGACCCTTTGGTCTGTGGGCCAACACTCTAACCACTGAACGCCACCAGCCAGGGCAATAATGGCTATTGCTGAGTTCAAGATTTCACAGTGGATTTGCTAAGGTAAATGCTTAATGTACCTTTACAGTGTCAGGAGGAACGGTTCACTTCCCACTGTAGTACCGTTCTATTTCTTATTTTTTAAGGATTTAGTAACTTAATTAAAAAATTTTTTTCAATTACAGTTTATTTTCAATTAAAGTTTACTTTCAATATTATTTTGTATTGGTTTCAGGGGTACAGCATAGTGGTTAGACACTCATGTACTTTACAGAGTGTCCCCCCTATATTTCCAATACCCACCTGGCCCCATACAGTTTTTACAATATTATTGACTATATTCCCTATGCTGTACTTTATATCCCTTTGACTGTTCTGTAAATGTATGTAGTACCATTTTTTTAATTTTTAAAATTTTTAAAGTTTTTTGTTTTAATCCTTACCTGAAGATATGTTTTTTATTGATTTGAGAGAGGAAGGGAGAGGGAGGGAGGCAGAGGTAGGAGGAAGGGAGGAAGGGAGGAAGGGAGGGAGGGAGAGAGAGAACATTGATGTGAGAAACACTGATTGGTTGCCTCTCATATGCACCTGCAACCTGTGTATGTGCCCTGACCGGGAATTGAACCTGAGACCCTTCAGTGTATCAGATGACGTTCCTAACAAGTGAGCCACACCGGCCAGGGTGTAGGACCACTTCAAATAAGGTGATTTCTGACAGTGTTTTCTAAACAACAACCATCACATCACAAAGGAATTTGTGATGGCTTTCTTATTTTTGCCTGCCGCACTAGCAGGCCAGTCCCTAAGGGGCAGGAATGGTGTCCTGTCTGGCTTGGGTTCCGTGTCCCTCAGGAACAACTGCCCACTGAATGGGAACAGAGCAGGTACATGGGGTCCCAGGCCCTTTTCCCAGTTCTGGACTCCACTGGTCTCAGGGCCCCTCCCGTGCTCACCTGTCCCTCAGCTGGGGCTTCAGGCAGAAACTCAGCTTCCTCCTCGCTCTCACTGGCGCCCTCCTCCCACTGGCACACCCCGCACAGAGGGCTGGAGAGATGGGTGGCCGCCTCTTCTTGTTTCTGGGAAAGTTGTTTCTGAGGTCAGAGAGGGCCAAGTAAAGGCACCATGCAGGTCAGAGATGGGGATGGAGATGGGCTGAGGTGTGTGTGTGTGTGTGCGGGTAGTGGGGGTGGAAGAAGCTGATATGAGGCTGGGCTGGGGAGGGTGGAAGCAGGACCCAGGATGAGTTTGGTGCCAGAACTAAGAATTGTATAAGGAGAGGTTAGGACAGATGGTCCTGAGGAGAAACGGGTTAGGGTGAGTCAGAGTTTCAGCTCAAGGTGGGTTGGGTCTTCCCAGGGGTGCCAGACCCACCTGCTGAATAGCCTGGATCTCCACGCCCAGTGATGGGGGCAGCAGCTTGGTCCAGTCCGCTCTTCTCGCCTGAGCCCCTTTGGGTAGCCTGGCCACACAGTCAGGAGGGGGGCAGCCTCTGTGCCTGCCCACCACCTGTCAGTCGCCTGTGCTGGGGTTGCCACCCTGCCCACCGTGGGGCTGGAGGCTGAGGTCCCTGCCCTTGGGCTCTCCTCCTGCCTCCTCCACCCGTCATGTTCCACTCACTCATCCGGCCCCTTATGGATCTGACTCAGCTGCTCCTCCAGGTGTGAGATTTCCAACCTCAGTTCCTGCGAAGGAGGGAGTGAGGGACACCTGGTTTTCCATTCTTCCCCACCCCCACCCCTAGGCTCCTCTTCCAAGGTCAAGTCTACTCCCCTGACTTCTTTGGGTTCCTCAAGACACATATTGCCAAGGGACACGGGGAAGAAAGCAGTGACAAACTGAGGAGGCTGAGGAGAGACAGAGAGCAGCAGGAACCCAGAAGGTAACCTGCCAGCCAGGAAAACCAAGCAAAGGAAGGCGGAGACAGAGACACGTGGAAACAGCTTCGAAGAGAGGCAGAGACACAGGAGGTGCAAGAGTCTCATAAAGACCAGGGACAGAGAGAGGAGTCACCCTGGGAGGCAGACAGTCTTAGATCCAGAGAGGGGCTGCGCAAGGACCTAAATACGCCAGGCAGACACACAGAGAGATAAGGAGGGGGGATGTGGTGAGAAGACACCCACAGAGAATAAAAGTGAACGGAAAACAGAGATACACAGAGAGAAATGAAAGAGAAAAAGTGAAAAGGCAGAGAGAGGGACACACATCAGACGGTGGAGATGGAAGTGAGAGGAGAAGACTTGAGACAGAGGGACAGAAACAGAAAGAGGCAGTAAATCTCGGAGACGGCGGGAGAACCGGGGAGAGCCAGGCCGAGCAGGGGGCCGCCAAGGGCGGCGAGGGGGCCTGGGTTACCTGGGTTGTTGTCCTGTACTCCTCCAAGGTCTTGGCCAGACTCTCCGCGTGGCACGTGCGCTGGGAAAGCCCAAAGCCGATGAGACTGGGCCCAACCTCATTAAGACACTGAGGCTGGGGGGGGGGGGGGGGCGGCGAGCATGGGGGCGGGCAGGGTGAGCTTGGGGGAAGGGCTAGGGCCCGAGGGACAGCACTGGGTTTGGAAAACAATAGAAAACTTTAGATTTAAACGTAAAAGCCATATGCAGATGTAGGATAAAGATTTGGGGGGCTCGTGCGGAGATCCTTAGGGCTGGGGGAGGGTAGAACTGAAGAAGAAAGCAATAAAGAGAACACAGGCCCTGAGGCAGGCAAGAATGGATACACTTGGACCACAGAACCCCTGGGACATCTGGGAATCTGAGAGGCATTTCCCAGCTCAGCCGCAGAACCACAAGGCGTGATCCCGCAGGGTCGTGCTTGTGACCTCAGTGGAACCCTGTGGCCTCTCTGGGTCATTTGCTTATCCCAGGATTAGAGCCAGGCAGGTGCACGTGGAAGCAAATGTCACCCAGCCCCTTACCTCGGAGAGGTCGGTGTCCCGCTGGCAAATGAGGCGTTCACACTCATAGAGCTGCCGCTGCCAAGGAAGGAGTCTGTCCATCTGTCCTGCCCACTCCCGAACCCCTCTCCTCCACCTCCCTCCAGGGCTCTGGACATCAGCTACATGGACAGGGATTTCAGCCAAGTTGCCTGGCAGCCCTGGGAACCTGACGGCTTGATGGAAGTTCCCAGCTGTCACCAGGCCTCGGTGGCTGAGACCGGAGATGGTAAATATGGCCCTGGGGGTGATGGGAAGTTGTCAAGGTACTAGGGAGGGGCAGCACCTTCAAAGCATCCTTCTCCATGGCCAGCTCCTCAGTCCTCCTCTTCACTCCATCCCGCTCTGCCAGTAGCCTTCCATTCTGGAAGGAGAAATGGCTGGTTCTGTTCACGTCAGCAAATGGCGATGCTAATACCCACAGGTGACATTTGCTGACACGTGATGTGCATCAGCCTTCAGGCTAAGCACTTTATGTTTTAGCCCATGAAACCCCTCCGACCAGCATATGGAATTTCAGCTTTGATTTCTCTGTGCATCAGTCCATCCCCCATCCATAAAAATGAAGATTAGAGCCTACTTCATGGGGCTGCTGTGAGGACTAAATCAGATACTTGGTAACATTTACTGAGCACCTTGCAGTAAATGAGTAAAAAACCTCATTTCTTATCCCCTATGTTAAAGATAAAAGCAACTCAGCTCTGGTGGGGTAGCTTAGTTTGTTAGAGTGTCATCCCCATATGCTGAGATTGTGGGTTCCATTCCTGGTCAGGGCACATCAAGAAGCAACCACTGAAATGAATGCGCAAGTAAGTGGAATAACAAACCGATGTTTCTCTCTCTCTAAAAATCAATTAAAAAAAAACACAAAAAAGCAACTCGGACACATAAAGGTTGAGTGACTTCCCCAGGTCTACAGATGGTAATTAATGCAAATACATGTTAATAGCACAAAGCATTTAGAACAATGCCTGACATATATCAAGTGTTTGGTAAATGTTATATTCAGAATAGTTTTATGTGGAATCTGCCGAAACCGGTTTGGCTCAGTGGATAGAGCGTCAGCCTGTGGACTGAAAGGTCCCAGGTTCGATTCCGGTCAAGGGCATGTACCTGGGTTGCGGGCACATCCCCAGTAGGAGATGTGCAGGAGGCAGCTGATCGATGTTTCTTTCTCATCGATGTTTCTAACTCTCTATCTCTCTCCCTTCCTCTCTGTAAAAAATCAATAAAATATATTAAAAAAAAAAATAGTTTTATGTGGAATCTAAATTAAACAATGTAAGTGAACAAACAAAACAGAAACAGATTTATAGTTACAGAGAACAGACTGATGGCTGCCAGAAGAGAGGGGGGTTTAGGGAACTGGGTGAAAAAGGTGAAGGGATTAGGTACAGATCGGTAGTTACAAAATAGTTATGGGAATGTAAGGTACGGCATAGGAAATATAGTCAATAATATTGTGATAATTATAAACGGTGCCAAGTAGGTACTGGAAATATCAGGGGACCACTTTTTAAAGCATATGATTGTCTAACCACTATGTATATACCTGAAATTAATACAAAATAATATTGAATGTAAACTGTAATTGAAAAAATGTTTACAAATATTTTTTAAACTTTGGATTATGAATTTTTAACACATACAAAAGTAAAAATAACAGTGTAATGAAACCCTTTACCAATCACCCAGCTTCAATAATTATATTGTTTCCCAGTTTGCTTCTTCTCTATCATGCAGGTTGTTTGTTTTGTTTGGGGTTTAACCAGATTATTTTAAAGCAAATCCCAGGCATCATAATATTTCACATTTAACTACTCCAGCATTTTAATCTCCTTCTTAAGGACCCTACCTTTAGCAAAACTACAATACCTACCATTATCACCTTTAACAAAATTAATAATTCCTTACTACCATCTCACACCCAAGTTGTGCTCTTTTTAATTTTTTTTTTCTCAAATGTTTTAATTTATTTTGTTTGAATGAGGATCCACAGGCTTTTGGTTGAAATGTCTCAATTCTTTTTAACTGCGTGATCCCCCACTTTCCAATCCTGGCATTTTTTGGGGTCCTTCTTTGGTGGAAGAAACCAGGTTATTTGTCTTGTGGGAAACTGTGCACTTGGTTTATTGTGTTCTCCTTCTCCATGTCCCCGCATCTTCATTATTTCCTGTAAACTGATGGGTAGGTCCAGACTTTGTTCGACTTCTTGGCAGGCAGATTTCATGGTTGTTGTGATGCAGGTCATGTGCCTTTCAGGCAGAATGTAATGTCTGGCTGTCCTAACATAGTTTTAACTGCCATCATCCCCAATTTTAGAGAGGACATTGAGGATCGGAGAGGTTAAAAAACTTGGCCAAGGTCACATGTTAAGTGGACTCAAACTCAAATCTGACTCCAAATTCTGTGCTTATAACCTGTCTCTCCTCTGAGCCAGATGAAGCCTTGGGTGACAATGGGGAGCCAGCTGCATCTCTTGTCCCAAGTTCATTACTATAGGTGGAGACCAGCACAGAAGCTGATGATAACGTGAGGTGGACTCTGATGAGGACTAGGGCCTGGGCCTGCTGGGAGCCCTGATGAGGAGCTTCCTGAGGAGGCAGTGCTGGGGCAGAATCCTCAAGGGTGAAGAGAGTTATGGGGGGTGGAGGACAAGTGGGCCAGGAGAGGGCAGTGGGCAGGGCTAGCTATGAAATAGGACTGAGAATAAAATGCCCCAAATTCCATTCTAGAGTTTCTGGGCACCAAAAACCTAGGAAGTTGCACTGAGTTTTGATGAGGCATCATGGGAGAGCATTTCTGGGCATGGAGGCAGCTGATTTCCCTTGCCACATCCCTCATCCTGGTGCCCCTGAGGATACCAAGGCCAGTTCCTCCTCCTCTCCAGCCTGGCTTCCCTACAAGTCCTCCATCAGCTGCCCTCCTCCCTCTCAGTCCCAGCTAGCCTGGATGCCAGGTGAAGGGCGGAGGAAGGACGGAGGGGCCAGGAATGCTGTGTCAACATCTGTTCACCTGGTCGGGATTTGCAGGCTGGATCCTGGGCGACTCGGCAGGGAACCTGGTTACTCAGCCGCTCCTGCCTTCTTCTGCAGTAACCTGAGCCTGCGCCATAGGTTCTCCTAGGGAAAGCTGAGTGTCCCTTACTCCAGCATTGTTCTACTGTAACTTGAGAACTCGATCTATAGATGCTCTGTAGGCAGCAGCCAGTGGGGAGAAAGGTGGAGGGGAGGGATCCAAGAATAGCTCCAGTTATCGAGCGCCTAGGATGTCCCAGGCGCAGCTCAAGGCACTTGATCTGGCAACAGGCCTCTGGGCTGGGAGGAGCAGAGACTGCTGGCTGCCATTCACCCTGCTTATTCCTTCTGCTTTCATTGAGGTCCTCTCTCCATGTGGGCAGGTGGGTCCCCAGCCTTAGCCCTGGAGGTGAATCAAGATGGAAATCTTGGCAGATTCAGGAGTTGGGAAGGTTAGCTGACCCAGCAGCCATTCTCCCCCTCCAGAGGCTGAAGATATTCTCCCGGCCTCCCTGGCAGCTGGTGGTGGTGGTGGTGGGGTCACTCCTGGAAAAGCTTTCCCTTCTGATGAAAAGAGAGCCCTGCGAGGAGCATTTGCTGAGCCCCCTGGCCCTCCTTGTCCCGCTTTGAATGAGAACATGAAGTTGGGAGCTGTTACAGCCCCCTGTGATCACAAGGCCACAGACAGAAAAACAAGCCAAAGAGCTGCCAAAGCAACCCAGACATCTTCCAAACCGCTTGTTAATCAGGATTCCCGGCCCCTCAGGGGCTGTGCTGTACCAGGAGTGGCTGGGCTATGATCACTTGCCACTTTGCTCAAAGACGGAGGTTCTGCCAGAGGCTTTAGGGAAAGCCCCTGGTTTTTAAAAAGAGAATTTCTAGAAGAAACAATTACATCCTCTCTGTATCCCCATGCCTCACACTGTGGCAGCCATTTTGCAGCGACTTCCCATAGCCTCAAAGGAGGGAATTTTCATGGAAGAGCCAGAAAACAATAGTAGAAACATTTTTAGATTTAAATGTAACAGCCATATGTAGACATAGGACAAAGATTTTGGGGGAAGGGGTCAGGCAGAGTAGGGCTGGGGGAGGGGTGCAGGAGAGTTGAAGAGAGCAACAGAGAGAAAATAGGCCATGAGACATCAAAGCTCAGGGTTAGCTCTGAGGGGGGCAAGAATGGATGCACTTGCCCTACCCGGTGTGGCTCAGTGGGTAGAGCGCTGGCCTGCGAACTGAAGGGTCCCTGGTTGGATTCCAGCCAAGGGCACATGCCCGGGTTGCGGGCTCCATCCCTAGTGTGGGGTGTGCAGGAGGAAGCCAATTAATGATTCTCTCTCATCATTGATGTTTCTATTTCTCTCTCCCTCTCCCTTCCTCTCTGAAATCAATAAAAATATATTAAAAAGAAAAGAATGGATGCACTTGAACTACAGAACCCCTGGGACATGTGGGAATCTGAGAGAGGCGTTTCCCAGCTCAGTCGCAGAAGCAACAAGGCATATGAATAATGGAATAGAAACAACTGTGCGAGTTGTTGAGGCAGAGAGGGACCAGGGAGCCCCAATGGCCACAGTCACAGGAAAACAGCCACACCTTCACTGTGCCCCTAGACGGGTACAGAAGTGGCTGAGCGAGAGCCCCAGTGGCCTTTACGGGGGCCACCACCAGCAGATGCAGCAAAGACTATATGTCCAGGGATGAGAAGGCAATGCCAGCCTCCCAGTGGATGCCAGCATGCAGTGGTGAGTAAGGCCAAGGACCAGATGGGACTATGAACATCAATCCTGCCCAGCAGAGAGCACAGATGTTGCGTGAGGACCGCCACCTCCTGGAGCACAAAGGTTCTGCCTGAGTCTCCAGCAACTTAGATGCCACCTTGTGGGGGGACAGTGACGAGATTCATCATCAAGGGATGAGTTTCAGTTTCCACCTAAAAGGACTAGGTAGACTCAAAAGGATCTCAGATGATGTTTTCTGTCTCAGATGGAACGTGGCTCGAACCAGACGTGAGGGTGAACTGGGACTGTTCATATTACGTGCTGGGCCCTGGGCTAAAAGCATGTATTTAATTCCCACAATAACCCTGTTGAACAGATGCCCTTCTCCTCCATTCTTAGAAAATACTGCAGAACTAAGGGCCCGGCTGGGTGGCTCCGTTGGTTGGAATGTTGTCCCATACACCAAAAGGTTGCAGCTTTGATCCCCGGTTGGGCGTGTATGGGAGGCAACGGATTGATGTTTCTCTCCCCCCCACCCCCCTATACCCTTCCTCTTGCTCGCAAATCACTAAAAACATATCCTCAAGTGAGGATTAAAAAATATATAAGAAAGCTAAGCTTAGGAAGGGGTAGTCACATGCCTAAGGTTGCCTGTCATGTAAGTGGCAGAGATGTGATTTGAACTTGGCTGACTTCAAGGCCTGTGTTCTTTCCACCATAAAAAAACAACTAATATATGAACAACACTAACTTTTACTGAGCACTTTCCACGCTGTGTCCAAGGCTTTACAAGCATCCCTTGTTTAAATCTTACACAACTCCCTGAGGGAGATTCTATTATTTTGCCCATTTTTACAGGTGAGGACACTGAGGCACAGAGAGGGGACCCAGGCAGTCCACCACGTACCCCGCACTTGGACCAACTGTGCCAGTTCTCACATGCAGTGATGCGACCTTCAGGGACATTCACATCTTGGGACCCTGGGGTCTCCCGCACCAGACTGAAGGGTGTCTGGTCTGCAGGCTGCTGGGGTGTCTGAGGCACCGGGGGGAGGACTGGGAAGAGGCGGGGCTGGGCCCTGGGCCTTGGCTCACCTCCTCCTGCAGAGTCTCCATTTCAGCCACCAGATGCTGCTGTTCCTTTTCCTGAGAGGACAAAGGCTTCTGTTGGGGCTTCCTTACCCCCATAGTGCCCTTCCCCCTCCCCTGGGATCACAATCAGGCCTGGGTCACTGAGGAGCAGGGCTGGGGAGCCCTGATGGCTCCTGCTGCCTCTGTGTCTTTAGAGGAATGGCAAAGCCTGAAGCAGGACATGGCGGGATGGAGGAAGCCTGGGTGACCTCTGCCTCTTCCCCTCCATCGTCAGGCTCTGATGCTCAGACTCCAAGAAAGAGGGAAGGGAGAGGACACCTCTGTGCCCCTTGCCCAGAACCTACTGTCTGCCGGGCCTGGGCCAGAAGACTGCGATTCTGTTCCTCCAGGCTCTTGGCCAGACTCTTCAGGTCCTCCAGCTCCTCATCCACAGCCTTGGCAAGCTGCAGGGCCTGCTGGGTGCTGTATGGGGGCAGGGACATGTGAGCCGTGAGAGAGGAAGACAGACCACAGGAGATCCACTCAGAGACAGAAGCAACAGAGAAACCCCAGACAGAGATAGAGGGGGATGGGGACCCAGAGAGAAGGGAACAGAGACTCAGAGGGAAAAAAGGGGGGTGGGGAGGGGCTGAGCCTGGAGAACAGGACAATTTTTACCTAAAAAACTAAGGGGGTAGGTCCTCGAGAGTGGGAGACTGAAATAGGGGGACAGGACAGACACAAGGAAGACAGACCGCAGGGAGAGAAATAGGCTGCTAAGATGGAGATCAGAGAGGGAAGAAGAGAGAGAATCTGAACTTGAGATGCTGAGAGACAAGAACCAGGGAGACAAGGGAGAAAGATAAAAGACAGAAGAAAAGAAGAACGGGACGTGCGGGGTCACAGACACGGAGAGAGAGGGAGTGGAGAGCGAGGCTGGGGCACAGGATGGTGGACGTGGGCCCGGCCCACCTGCGGAGCTGCTTGCGCAGGGCCACGATCTCCTCCCCTAGGCGCGCAGACCCCTCCTCAGCGGTCTCCACGCTGCGCTGCAGTTTGGCGTTCTCCCCAGCCAGCCTGCGGTTACTGAGCTCCAGGTCCTCCAGGCTGCTCAGCAAGTCAGCTGTGCCCAGCCTGGGGGCAGGAAGGGCCAGGGTCACCACCACCCACAGCCCCGGCCACCTTTCCCAGGTGACGGTAGGTGGTGAGGGTGGTGGGGAGACAAGCTCTTCTGGAGAAAGAGCAGGAGGAAGACTGCCGGGCTCTCCCTGAGCTGTTAGCACAGCCCCTATCCCTCACCCACTCCCAAAGGACCCCAGGCCCTAGCCCGGCCCTGGGCAGGCTGGAGGGCATGGGAGGGGAGGGGAGAGGGGGCCTGAGGATAGGTACAGCTCAGGTCTGGGGTCTTCGCCTCCGAAGCTCTCCAGGTTGGCTGGCTCCTCCGTGTCTGGGCCTCCTGGAGGGAGATAGACAGAGGGTGGTGGGCTCCCCAGTGACTTTAGATATCGGGGCTCCCCAGGACTCTGGGCTTGTTCCTTGTCTGGCTTCCACCCTCAGAGCATTTGCTCTGGGTGATCCCATCTGCTCCCAGGGCTGTAACTACACCCCAACATCAGAAAAGCCTCTTGTTCATCCGTGAGCTCAGGCTGGATCTTCCAGATAGCCCTGTAATTTCCATGCCCAACACTGGCCCCAAACCTGTTCCTCCTCCCACTCCCCCGCCCCACACTGCCACCTGGATCCCTTGCTCCTGCTCACCTCCTCAGTCCACTAGGACCTAGGCACTGTCCCACTCCTCCCCAACTGTGTTCCACCCTCCTCTCTATCCCCACCCCCCACCCTGGCGCAGGCCCTCACCACAACCTCCTCCCCAGCCTCCTCACCTCCAGCTTCCCCTTCTGTCCTTCCCCGACCCAGAGCTGACCCACCCCTCCCCTGCTCACAGCCCTCCCTTGGCCCCTAAGCCCAAAGGGAGGAGGTTCAAGGAATGCCAAGTAAATTCTATTTCATTTGCTTTTGTGTTCGTAAGGCTGGAGGAATATAACACAAACACATGTTTACGGAGCACCTCCTGTGTGCGAGGTCCTAGGGATACAATGGTAAGCAAATCAACTAACCAAACAGCAGGGCAAGTAACTAATCAGATTATCAGATTTCTGCAGGAAAGGCATGCAGGTCTGTGAGTGTGTGACTGCAAGAGCAAGGGACTGTAGCCTGGGGCACCCCGGCTGGATGAGAGGAGAGGTGGGCGGGGCCTGGTGGGGCTCTATAACAGAGCTGGTGTTAGAAGGCTTTGGAAACAACTCACAAAGCTCAAGGAGGGTGGGGAGGCAGTAATGGAGGCTCCTAGAAGGCCAAACTCACAGCTCCAGGCTAGAGCAAAGGTCCCTGGGGTCCCACTCTATCTCCTGCTCTGTAGCCAAGTGGGAAGTCCCCCCACTGTCTGACCCTGGGCCAGCCTGCTTCATTCTATATAAAGCATTCTCACCAGATGGCAGCTGCTGGGAGGTCAGGGCTCCCTCGAAGGTAGTCTCCTCTTCCAGTTCTAATCCTCTGTATCAAAGGGATGAGGCTTAGAGCCCCCTGCAGCCATCCTCAAACCCAGCAGGGGTTTTTGGGCGGCTGGAGGAGGGGCCAGGTTAGGTGAGTAAGCTCCATAGGGAGGGAGGTGGGGCCAGATGGCTAGCGCCTGGGGCCAGATGGCAAAGCAGGAGGGCAAGGACTGAGATTGGAGAAGGGATGGTGAGGGGCATCTGTTAACCCATCGCCCCCTGTTTCCTCCTTCCAGCCCCTTTTATGTCTGTTTCCCAGACCCCCTCACATCCCCTTCCCAGGCACTTTGTCCTCAGACACTCTGCGCCCCTACCCATCTCTTTACTTTGTCTCTTCTCAGCCTCCTTCCAACCACAGGAGAGCCCTATGCCCAGAGGGTGCTGGCCGCAGTAAGGAGGGATGAGGTTAGAGCTTAGGAAGGACTTCCCAGGTGAGGGTGGAGGTACAGGTACCCACCCATCCAGCTGACAGGCAGTGATCCAGTCTCGCATGACGACCAGGAAGGTGTCCAAGTCCACAGTGGCCTGAGGGCCCTCCCCATTGGGGTCCAGGCTGCAGGCCAGTGTTTGGAGGCGTGTATCTTGGGGGCCCTGTCCTGTCACGGCCTCCAGATAGGCTAGTACTCGGGTCACAGCCACAGAGCCTGGAGACAGAGCATGCCATGAGGGAACGGGGGCAGGTGGGGAGGCGTGGGAGTTGGGGACATTAGGCCATCACTGGCTGGCTGGTGGCACCCCTGCACCACAGCCCGGCTGGGACAACTTGGGCAAGTCCTTTCCCTCCTCTAAGTCCACGTTTTCACAAGTCATCAGCTCCACCTCAGAGGGTGGACCAAAGAGAATTGGCTCTTCCCCCAGTGGCTCCCCTCTTTCCTCCCCCAAGCACTGAAGCCCCACCCTCTTCTCTTAATATCCCCCAAGTTTTCTTCCCCTCACTGTCCTTGCCTGAAAGGCCTCCATGCCCTTATCCACTCATTCCTGAAGCTTCCCATAATCACCGTCCTACAAGACCCCCATCCCTCTCTCTAAGGCTCCCCAGTTCCAAGCCCCCCATCTCTGTTCCTTATTATTGCTTATCTCCCCCACACCCAGTGCTCCCAGGCCCACCCTGCCCCTCCCACCTGTCCTCTGGGGGTCACAAGCTTCGAACACAGAGTTCAGTATTTGATCCTCTAAGCTGAGCGGTGTCTCTAGGCGCCCCTCGTCCGGCTGTTCCCAGAGGTACACTGAGGAGACAAGAGGGCCAGTCCACCCGTGAGGAGAGGAGTGGCCTGGCTCCTGCAGAGGGGAGAAGTTCATTCCCAGCAGCCTGGAGTTTCCGCTGGTGGGGAACAGCAGGAAGCTTTAGGCGGGGGCAGCAATGTGAGGGTCTTTGAGTCACCTCCTCACCCCTCCACCCTGGGGATGTGGGCCCCATCTTTCAGGCCAGGAAGTCCCCCCTGCTGTTTGTTCCTTTGTGTCCAACCCATTCAGAAGCCAGATAAGAATGAGCAATCACCCTTTCCTCCTCTCCTCCCCTGCCTCCCAGGCTGTATTCAGAGGGGCTGCAGGAAGGGGAGGGCAAAGAAGAGAGGATTCTGGGAGGAGCTGAGGGTGAAGGAGGGCCCAGAAGCCAGGAACAATCCGATAACATTCTGGCAACCTGGATCGATTCTGCCTGCTGCATCTCCGGTCCCCTAGCCTGCCTGGTGGGCCGGGTCTCTCTCCTCTCACCATGCCCAGTTGAAGCTGGCCGCAGGGGAGCCCAGGGCCAGGAGCTCAGAGCCCAGCTGCACTATTGTAGGCAAGTTGCTTCTCTTTTTGGAGCTGTGGTTTCCCAACCAATAAAATGGCAGGGAGGTGGGGTAGAGTGATCCTGCTCCCCAGGACTGGGAGGGTTAGGGGTGTGTGTGTGTTGTGTGTGTGTGAACAGCATGTGTGTGCGCACACACACAAAATGCACATCCCAGGGTCTGTTTGTCCACTGCTGTATCCAGTGTTTGCAGAGTAGGCACTCAATAAATATGCCAAGATATGGGAGGAGATCCTTTACCTCAGGAACCACTGGGACAGCCCAGCCTCTTTCTGAGGGCTGGAAGTGACCTTCAGACCCCTGGACTGCTGGGTACAGCACTGGGCTGAGCGCAGGCTACAGGGTCTGGCAGACACATGGACAACCCAGGCCAGGGGCCCAGCTTCTCTGAGCCTCAGTTTCTTCGTCTGGAACATGGGGGTGGTGTTCCTTCCCTCTTAGAAAATGGCTGAGATAAAATCTGGAAAAGCCCTGGCAGAGGGCCTGGCATGTCCTGGAAGCTTAGTATACAAGGTTTTGCATGGGCCCCACTTTATAGCTGAGGAGACTTAGGCATAAAAAAGTTCAACGTGAGTGCCCTTTCTCATTCCACTCTTCACAGGTTCTTTGTAGTGAGCTCCAATTCCGCCCCCGCGGGGTGGAGCCCATGCTCCTTGGGAAGGGGAGTAGGAACCCAGTTAGGGGAGACGCCAGGGCCCGTGCCCAGGGCTTTCCCTGCACTCTCGTTTCTTCCTCTTGCACTGAACCCATGTTATGGAGGAGGACCCTGAGGCCCAGCAAAGTCACTTGCCCAGGGCCACTTAGCCAGGAGAGCAACCCAGAGTCAACCCAGGACTGTCTGGTTACAGATCACGTGGGGTCTGATGATCCGCATGTGTCTACAGTCTCTTCCCAGGGCCCCGCAGGAAGATGTCATTGTGCTTCTGTCCTGTTTTCTTTCATCTCCTTCCTCAGTGTCTCTACCTCTCTCTGTGTCTCTGTGTCTGCCCTTCTCTAGTTTTCTCTCTTGCTCTTTCTCTCCATCTTCCTTCCCATCTCTCTCCCCATGTCCCTTGCCTCTATTTTCTTCCTTGTGTCTCTGTGCCTCTCTTCCCATATCTCTGAGACTCTCCATTCATTCCCCAGCCTTCTCTCTTCTTCCTATGCTGTCTCTCCTTCCTATGCTGTCTCTCCGTGTCTTTTTCCCCAGAGTCTTCCTCTGTCTCCATCTCCCCTGGGTGTTCCCTCCCTTTCCTTCAGGAGCCTTTCCAAGCTGGCTCAGCACTGGCCACGGATTCCTCAGTGGCTGCACGCCCTCTGCTGGTGCCAGAGAAGTTTAGATGGTGGTCACTCCATCAGTAGGCACTGGGGTCTCCCCACCCAGGTGTCTGCTTCCTACCTTCCTACCCAGAAAACCTCCCGAGGAGGCTGCAGTTCAAGCCTGGGGCCCTGAGAAAACACCCAGGTTCTGCTGCTGCTGGACGCTAGGAGCCTCTGAGAAAGGGGCCCTGCCTCTCCCCGAGGGTGGGAGCCTCATCCCCCATCACTCTGGGCTCCCCACTTAGCCAATGAGTTCCAGAGAGGGCAACCACCGGGCGAGCATCTTGCTCCAGAAGTGGCTTTCCCATGCATGTGGTTTGCATCCAGCCAATTCTAGGACAGTAACCGCGTTCCTACTATGCGTCAGGCATCATTCTAGCGTAGCACCCACCGCACGTTGTTTGTAAGCACTTGAACTGTGGCCAGCATAAAAAGAGCACGTTAGGCATAAAAAGTTGCTCTAATAGAGCAACTGAGGTGCTCTATTAGCATAAAGCACACACCAGACCTTGAAGACTTAGCATGGGGGAAAAAAGTTATCTCCAATCCATTTTATATTGATTATATGATACTACAATACTATTGTGGATATATAAAGTTAAATAACATCTATTATTGCCATTCATTTGGCCTGTTTCTTTTTTTCTTTCTTTTGAATATGGCTACTAATAAATTTTAAAATTACATATATGCTGCTGGACAATGCTGCTCTAGGAACTGGAAATACCAGAGAGAATAAAACAGAGTCGGCCTGGCAGAGCTCATGCTCTAGTAGGGGTGTGTGTGTGTGTGGGGGGGGGCAGAGAGTAGACAGACAGTGCTATGTCAGTGCTATGAGGAGAGGCAGAGCAGCAAAGAGGAGCGAGTGTGACAGGGCAGGTGCCTTACAGAAAGCAGAGATCTGAATGAAGCGAGGGGGAGCCTGCAGTCCCTGGTAAAGGGTGCTCCAGGCAGGGGGCACCGCACACCACACGCAAAGGCTTCTGCTCTGGCCTCTAGGAGCAAAGGGGACGAGGGGTCCAGACAGGTGGGCACAGGGCAGGTTCCCTCCTTCACACCTTGCACCAAGGTGGAGCCTCAAGCCACCTCCCCCAAGACCCCGAGTCACAGTCTGGTGCCCATTCATCCACTTCTCCCTCCTCATCCTCCCGCAGGGTCAGGAGGGACCCAGCCACCTACTTTGAGTAGCGGGGCCACCCGTTGGGCTCTCTGGCAGGTCCATGGGCCACCCTCGTTGCTCCTCAGCTGCTGGCGAAGCTAACAGCCCCCCTCCATCACAGGGACCAGCTGCTCTGAGAGCTCCTGGAAGGACAAGCAGGGGAATGGCCTCCTCAGACCAGACACCTGAGGGGTGGGGACCTGACCTGCCTCACCTGCTCTCCGGGCCGTTCTGGGTTCTCAGAACCTGTTTGCCCACCCCTGCCTCCATCACAGCGGCTCCCGGCTCCCGCTCAGACCTGTTTTATGGATTGGAGGTGTGGGTTGGGCAAAGGGGGACCTGAAGAGTGGGTGGCAGAGATCAAAGTGGGGCCAGTGGGTGGGGGTCATTGCCTCTTCACCAGCCCTCCTCCGACAGCTTGTCAAGTCCCAGCCTTGTCTTCCTGCCCAATGACTCTACCTGTCCCCTTCTCACCTTCCCTATGGCCCAGGCTTCGGCCTTGTCTTCTCCCCATGGGCCCTCCCTGCAGCCTCTCCCCTGGCCTCAGCCTCCGGTCTCCCCACACCAGTCCACTCCCACAGGGCTCCCGATCTGACCTGCCCCTCCCCTGCTCACTGCTCTCCCATGGCTCCCGAGCACCCCCTGGACAGAGCCTAGACCAGTGATGGTGAACCTATGACACGCGAACTCATTTTTTTGGTTGATTTTTCTTTGGTAAATGGCATTTAAATATATAAAATAAATATCAAAAATATAAGTCTTTGTTTTACTATGGTTGCAAGTATCAAAAAATTTCTGTATGTGACACGGCACCAGAGTTAAGTTAGGGTTTTTCAAAATGCTGACATGCCGAGCTCAAAAGGTTCGCCATCACTGGCCTAGACCCTGGATTTGGCATCGAAGGCCCTCCATGGCCTGGCCCCAAATCACACTTGCTGCTCCAGCAACTCTGAACTGAGTGCTGTTCCCCAAACCGGGTTTGCTGTTCCCACCTCTGGGACACCCTCCTAGCCAGCCCTCCCAGTCTCAGCTCACACGTCCCCTCCTCCTGACCACCTTGGGCTACCGACATCCTCGCCAGATCAGCCTATGTCTGGCGTTCCACTCGTTTGGCCCCATCTCCCCTGCTCAGTCCTCCCTGGCTCCCTGATGCCCTCAGGACCAAGTCCTAGCCCCTCTGGCTGCTATGGCAGGGTGGCCCCTGTAACTCCTGCCTCTTTTTGTTACTCTTCTCCCCACTGGCCCTCCTCCAGGACCCTCCCCCTCATCACACCCATGGGAGCTTCGCATCTTCCCAGGCCGAGGCCACACTGAGCACTACTCCCACCTGTGGCCCTGCCCTGGCCCACAGCTCCTGGGGGAGCCTTCCTGAGTCCCTAGAGCAGCCGGGACCCCCTCTCCTGTCCTGCCTACATTAATTATAACCAGCTTGACCCTATGACTTCTTATCCCAACTCCAGGACACTGTCAAGAGCGAAAGGGGCCCGGCCAGTGTGGCTCAGTGGTTGAGCGTCAACCTATGAACCAGGTTACGGTTCGATTCCCAGTCACAGCACATGCCGGGTTGTAGGCTCGATCCCCAGTGTGGGGCGTGCAGGAGGCAGCCAATCGATGATTCTCTCTCATCCTGGATGTTTCTATCTCTCTCCTTCTCCCTTCCTCTCTGAAATCAATAAAAAAATATATTTAAAAAATAATAATTATTACACTGGATGCCCTGGCAGGTGGCTCAATGGTTAGAGCACTGGCCCACTGAAGGGTCGCTGGTTGGATTCCTGGTCAAGGGACTCTCTCTCCTCCTTCCTCCCTCCCTTCGGCTCTAAAACGATGGAGAAACGTCCTCGGGTGAGTAACAGCAGCAGCAAGTTACACTGGGCAATGGTGCCCACCACACTGAACTGGCACACGGGGGCAGATACATGGTCAAAGCAGGGTCCCCTCTCCTCCCCACGTGCTCCCCACACCCCGCTTTCCTGGCCCCAGGGGGTGCCACAGCCGTGCGGGCACACTTCTTGGGGCTTTAGAATTCCTAGAAAACGCGGCTGAGACCCTTCTAGGGTTTGGGCGACGCTGGAGGGTCTGCAGGGGGGCAATGGCCCTGCAACCTGAGTGGGAAAGGGGTGCAAGGTGCTGACAGGGTTGGGGGGACAAGCTCCTGGCGAGGGACTGAGGGAGGCTACGTTCAATCTCGGGCCGTTGGAGGGGAGGCTAGAGGATCCCCAGGAAGGAGGCTCAGGCAGGACTTCTGGGAATTTTAAGGTCTCGATTTCAGGGTGTCTCTGACTGGAACTCTGGGGGGTCTCTGGATTTCTGGGGTATCTGACTGGATTCCTAGGGTGTCTCTGACTAGATTTCTGGGGTTTCTCTGGCTGAATTCCTGGGGTTTCTCTGACTAGGTTTCTGGGGTTTCTTTGACTGAATTCCTGGGGTTTCTCTGACTAAATTTCTGGGGTGTCTCTGACTAGATTTCTGGGGTTTCTCTGACTAGGTTTCTGGGGTGTCTCTGACTAGATTTCTGGGGTTTCTCTGACTGGATTCCTGGGGTTTCTCTGACTGAATTCCTGGGGTTTCTCTGACTGGGTTTCTTTGACTGAATTCCTGGGGTTTCTCTAACTAGATTCCTGGGGTGTCTCTGACTGAATTCCTGGGGTTTCTCTGACTGAATTCCTGCGATTTCTCTGACTAGATTTCTGGGGTTTCTCTGACTGGATTCCTGGGGAGTCTCTGACTGAATTCCTGGGGTGTCTCTGACTGGGTTTCTGGGGTTTCTCTGACTGAATTCCTGGGGTATCTCTGACTGGGTTTCTGGGGTTTCTCTGACTAGATTTCTGGGGTCTCTCTGACTGGGTTTCTGGGGTCTCTCGGACTAGGTTTCTGGCGTGTTTCTGACTGGATTCCTGGGGTGTCTCTGACTGAATTCCTGGGGTGTCTCTGACTGGGTTTCTGGGGTTTCTCTGACTAGATTTCTGGGGTCTGACTGGGTTTCTGGGGTCTCTCGGACTAGGTTTCTGGCGTGTTTCTGACTGGATTCCTGGGGTGTCTCTGACTGAATTCCTGGGGTCTCTCTGACTGGGTTTCTGGGGTTTCTCTGACTGGATTCCTGGGGAGTCTCTGACTGAATTCCTGGGGTTTCTCTGACTGGGTTTCTGGGGTTTCTTTGACTGAATTCCTGGGGTTTCTCTAACTAGATTCCAGGGGTGTCTCTGACTGGGTTTCTGGGGTTTCTCTGACTAGATTTCTGGGGTTTCTCTGACTGGATTCCTGGGGTTTCTCTGACTGGGTTTCTGGGGTTTCTCTGACTAGATTTCTGGGGTCTCTCTGACTGGGTTTCTGGGGTTTCTCGGACTAGGTTTCTGGGGTTTCTCTGACTGGATTCCTGGGGTGTCTCCGACTGAATTCCTGGGGTTTCTCTGACTAGATTTCTGGGGTCTCTCTGACTGGGTTTCTGGGGTTTCTCGGACTAGGTTTCTGGGGTGTCTCTGACTGAATTCCTGGGGTTTCTCTGACTAAGTTTCTGGGAGTTCTCTACTAGATTTCTGGGGTTTCTCTGACTAGGTTTCTGGGGTTTCTCTGACTGGATTCCTGGGGTGTCTCTGACTAAATTCCTGGGGTTTCTTTGACTGAATTCCTGGGGTTTGTCTAACTAGATTCCTGGGGTGTCTCTGACTGAATTCCTGGGGTTTCTCTGACTAGATTTCTGGGGTGTCTCTGACTAGATTTCTGGGGTGTCTCTGACTAGATTACTGGGGTTTTTCGAACTAGATTCCTGGGGTGTCTCTGACTGAATTCCTGGCGTTTCTCTGACTAGATTTCTGGGGTCTCTCTGACTGGGTTTCTGGGGTTTCTCTGACTGGATTCCTGGGGTGTCTCTGACTGTATTCCTGGGGTGTCTCTGACTAAATCCTGTGGTGTCTCTTACTAGATTTCTGGGGTTTCTCTGACTGGATTCCTGGGGGTGTCTCTGAATTCCTGGGGTTTCACTGACTGAATTCCTGGGGTTTCTCTGACTAGATTTCTGGGGTTTCTCTGACTGAATTCCTGGGGTTTCTCTGACTGAATTCCTGGAGTTTCTCTGACTAGATTTCTGGGGTCTCTCTGACTAGATTTCTGGGGTTTCTCTGACTGGGTTTCTGGGGTTTCTCTGACTAGGTTTCTGGGGTGTCTCTTACTGGATTCCTGGGGTGTCTCTGACTGAATTCCTGGGGTGTCTCTGACTTAAATCCTGGGGTTTCTCTGACTGGGTTTCTGGGGTTTCTTTGACTAGGTTTCTGGGGTTTCTCTGACTGGATTCCTGGGGTGTCTCTGACTGGGTTTCTGGGGTGTGTCTGACTATATTTCTGGGGTTTCTCTGACTATATTTCTGGGGTTTCTCTGACTAGATTTCTGGGGTTTCTCTGACTGGATTCCTGGGGGTGTCTCTGACTGAATTCCTGGGGTTTCTTTGACTGAATTCCTGGGGTTTCTCTGACTGGGTTTCTGGGGTCTCTCTGACTGGGTTTCTGGGGTCTCTCTGACTAGGTTTCTGGGGTTTCTCTGACTAGGTTTCTGGGGTTTCTCTGACTAGATTTCTGGGGTTTCTCTGACTGGATTCCTGGGGTGTCTCTGACTTAATTCCTGGGGTTTCTCTGACTGGGTTTCTGGGGTTTCTTTGACTAGGTTTCTGGGGTTTCTCTGACTGGGTTTCTGGGGTTTCTCTGACTAGATTTCTGGGGTCTCTCTGACTGGAGTTCTAGGGTTTCTCTGACTGGTTTCTCTCACTGGGTTTCTGTGGTGTCTGGATTTCGGGGGATCTTTGGCTGTGTTTCTGGGATATCTCTACATTTCTACCGGGTCTGGACTTCTGGGATATCTTACTGGGTTTCTGTGGGGGTCTCTTACAAGATTTCTGGGGGGCGTCTCTGACTGGATGTCAGAGCTCTCTTATATTTGGGAGAGGAAACTGACAGGATTTTGACAAGATTTCTGGGGTATCTGACAGGATTCGGAGGGTCTCTGGTAGGATTTGGGGAGGCAGAGGAACGGGACTTCGGGGGTCTCTGGCAGGGTCTGAAGAAGTCTGACAGAATTTCTAAAATATTCTGACAAGATTTCAGGGTCATCTGTAAGGTTTCCTGGTAGGTTCCTTTCAGTATTTCTGAGGGGAT